AGCCACGAAGCCTGTGACCCTGCGTAGTACAACTCTTAGACAACACTGTGGAAATTGATAGAATCCTTAGTCATCTTACAGGGCTAAATGGACAGGCCAAATTTGACATTTTCAAAACGGTCTTGAGATTAGTAGTCTTTGGGCTGAATTAAGAATCTATCCCATTCTTCTGGAACACCATTAGCCTTTTTATTTCTTCCCCACAGTACATTCTATTCAGAACAGACCACGTATACCCCTCAATGATGGATACATTGCAAGAGAACACCACAATGGTGTGATGTTGATTCCCCAAATTGCCAAAATGTGTTTCCTGATTGTTGAATTGTAGCCAGATATTTTTCTCTACTGTTTACCCTTCTAAAAGTCCTTGATCAAGAAAAGACAGGATGCGGCTTCAAAATATAGCACCCTCAAAGCTGAAGAATGCAATCTGAACAGCTTTGTCTCTTTGATTCAGTGGGCTGTAGGCTGCTCATTACAGAACAGCTGAAGCTTTTTCTAAATTTATCAATTATCTTTTGGGTAAGAGTGAAATTATAGATTTTGATTGTTTGAGACAATTAAAACAGCACAGGCCACAGACAAAAGTATCAAGATGAATTTAAGGACACTACTATTTTTAAATCCTTGATCAAACACACTGTAGTCTGTTTCCCTTTGTTTAGAACTGGATTGTAGGAAGGGCAGAGTCTGAAATTGTAAAGCTGAGCCCAAGTTCCATTCTGCCACTTACTCTGAGATCTTGGTTAAGGTACTTAATCTCCATGGAACCAAGGTTCTTCAACTCTAAAACGAGGAGAATCACTACTACCGTGGGTTCACTGTGATAACATTTATAGCGTAACTAGCACAGGACTTAATACGTTATAGCTGTTGTGTGCCACTGAGTCGATTCTGACTTATAGTGACCCTATAGGACAGAGTAGAACTGCCCCATAGGGTTTCCAAGGAGTGGTTGGTGGATTCAAACTGCCAACCTTTTGGTTAGCAGCCTGAGCTGTTAACCACTTTGCCACCAGGGCTCCGGACTTAATATTGGTAATAGAAAAATCAGTAAACACTTATTAAGCATCTACTGTGTACTCTGTGCTGCTGTGTACAGTTACGCACTGCCCAACTCTGGGGTTGGGGCTGGGGTTCAGATTACAGTCAGCAGACATTTGAATATTTACTAGGACAGTTTTTACCTGGTGAAAATAAAATGTTCTGCGAAAGGTGCACCTTTTAAAAATCTACAGAAAGGTATCATTTGGGCTAGCAAAGGCTGGGTTTGTGGCCATGACAAAAAACACAATCCAATGGGAAAAGGGAAGAGTGAAACTCAAGACAAATTTCATCGACTGATTGTTGTGTTGAAATCTTGAAAGAGCATCTGCAACGTTAAGGATGGAGAAGACAGCATTCCTCACAGAAGGTATACATTTTAAAATATGTCCACAAATTATTTGATATTTTTCTTTTTAAAAGACGGCACCTAACTAACTCCTCTTCTTGTGGGCATGAACTGTATTTCATGAGTCACTTTTAATGAACTGAATGTGGTGGAGGCGTGACTTGGGAGACTGGATTGTAAAACGTTCTGTAGTTTCTTGTCAGCTCATTTGGATCACTTGCTCTGGGGGAAGCCAGCTGCCATGTCGGAAGGACTCTCAAGCAGCCTTTGGGAGACAGCCATGTCGTTAGGAACTGAGGTCTCCTGCCAAGTCATGAGGAACTGAGGATTCTTGCCAATGTTGTGTGAGTGTGCAGTCCTCCAGCCCCACTCAAGCCTTCAGAGGTTGTGGCCCCGACCAACATCTTATCTGCAACCTCATGAGACCCTGAGCCAGAACTACCCAGCTAAGTCACTCCAAGGTTCCTGATCACAGAAGCTGTGAGATAATAAATGTTTAAGTTGCTGAGTTTTGGGGTAATTTGTTATACAGTAACAGATAACTAATACAGTGGTAAAAGTTCCCAGTGGAAACTTGCCTTTGGTTGGAGCCTGTGATCCTGGGCTAGGTGGGTGGAGGGGATACAGGAGAGGTCATAGATAGATGTCCAAAGTTCTCTGTTTAGAAGTTAGGATTTATCCTATCAGAAACCTACTCAAGCCAGAGGATGTTTTTATGTAGAAGCGTGACATGATCAGAGTTGCCTACGATGCCTCTGGCATTAAATGGGATGGGAAAGAGACTGGTTGGGAGGGGAGCCTCAGTTTGCAAGTTCTAGGAACAACAGTCCAGATAAGAGAAGATGAGCACTTGAGCTAATGGCAGAGGAGATGGAAATGAGAGGATTGTCTTAAGAGATGGTGGTTTTCAGAAAAGAACAACCAGTTGCCAGGATGATCCAGTACAATCATGCTTCACTCTGCACTGGATAGGGAAAAAGTATGGCAACCCCATATTCATAGCAACACCACCAGCTCACACACACATGCATGCACGCACGCACACACACAATACTTACTTTCATGACCTAATAGGATGAACGCTTTGCAAAAAGCTCTTCATGATTATGAAGTGTCTCACTCTTAGGGTTTAACATTAGCCATGTGAAATAGTCCTTTATAGAAACTGTAATTTCAAGAACAAAGAGAAAATAATGAGCTCCCACCTTCCATAGGAACCAACAGCTTCACAATTGTCCATTGTATAAATAAGACCAGAGAAGATTAGACTGAATTATAGTGGGATGATTTATAGCCCTGTCTGAATACAGATTACATATGGTATTTAAATGCTGGAAGATTCAAACACAATCAATGACTGAAATAGTACAGGCAGCAATATTTCTTTAGGAAAACAGCATCTATTAAAAGCCCCAGGAAGAGCTGGATATATAATTGTTAAGCCATGTGTGTTTTAAATGGTCACATCTGTACACAGTGGTGAGGAAAGAAAACATACTTTTATTCTATTATCTGTAATTCACTGTATCATTATGGCTTATAGCTGCATTCCAAAATGTTACTTCTGGAAAGGAGGGTTCAACCGAAATTTAACCAGCGTACCAGGAAGCGTTCAAAACCAGCAGAGAGTGTCAAGGAACTAAATTTGCTTTTCAGAAGGAAAATGTTGATAAACATAATAGCTGGCAGTCATATAATTTGTTTCTGAAAGTTACTTTCTAAATAATGCTTCCTTTTTCATTTGCATATTTATTTTTTATATTATATTATATATTTTTAAGGAAATGTTAATCTTCAAAGAACTTGAAGCAGTAAATAAATGCTTGTCAAATACTCAATGTCCTAACAATAGGACACTAAGAGGAAAAGTATTTCCCTTAAAAAAAAAACGTGACAATCTACGTTCTTCGAGGCAGAGAGCGTGCTGTTGACCCCAGCAGTCCAGTACCTAACATAGGGCCCAAACAAGGGAGTCACTCAACTAATGCTGAGTTGAAAGAGGAATGAATGAATGCGTGGATGAATGTATGAACACATCACGTGTTAATGATGCTGGCTTTGTACAAATAAAAGCAATTTTCTATTTATTTCAAAGTCATGTCTCCTCTGTAAGAACTCATAAATATTTACAACTGAAGAGTCTTGTGGAAGATGTGAAAAATTCTGATGTTCAAGAAAAGATAAAAATAACCCAAGTAAGTGTGAACTAAGCAGTAGCAGCAGCAGCATATTTTGGGAACCCTGATGGAACTCTTTTAGCAAAAGCACACTGCTGTAGCTACAATTAAGGATGCCGCTCTTCAGACTAACTGGGAGACAGAGAAAATAATGAAATAATGCTTCTTCAAGACTATCAAAAATCTACTTCTGATTCACAGTCCAAAGTTAAACTTTTGTGGCGGGAGAAAAGGGAAGGAGAGAAACCACCACCATTAGTGACTGTGCCAGAGCTATTTATTAGCAAAAACTTTTTTTTTAAAGATTTCATAACAACTGAAGTATACACAAAGTCTTATAGCATTTACACCATAAAAAGTTTCCTATGAGCTGATGGTGTCTAAGCTAGTGCTACTAAGAACTTCAGAGTGAGACCAGGACAGCAATGGAGCAGACCGCCGAGAGGTTATCTCACTGCTACTCCACCACAGCTGTTGGCCATTGGCCAGCTAACCTGGAGGACAGGTGACTGGAAAGAAAAAGAACAAGTTGATAGGCAGTGCTGGAGACCATGAGGGAGGAAAAGCCACACAGTGTCGTGTCTCTACAGTTTCCTAGAGCAGTAACAAAGCCCACAGCCTGAGAGAATAGCATATGCAAGACAACATAATCATGTTGCTCAGATAGCGCTCAGCCACCCAATGTGTTTACTTTGAAGAGGAGGCTTTATACTGATATGGCTGTGTACTTCCATTTCTGCTCATGTCTTCAAAAAGCTCAAACTGAACAAGCCCTACTCCCTTCTCCTAAGTAAAACAAGAACGGGGCGGGGGGGG